TAAATATATATATATATAAATTAGTAAAAAGAAGATAATAGTAATAGTTAAATTAAAAATAATATACGTATATAATAATCAATGAAGAAAAAAAAGTATACGTATATAATAATAATAACGTAAATATATATATATATATAACTTAGTAAAAAGAAGATAATAGTAATAGTTAAATTAAAAATAATATATACATATATAATAATTTGTAAAACACAACAAAAAGTATTAATATAAAAAATATAAAAATATAAATAGATAGGTAAATAAAAATATACATCCATAAAAAATATAAAAACAAAGAAAATAAAAAAAAAGCAAATATGAGTAATATATATATAATAAATAGCATGTAATAAAAGAAAAATAAGTAATGTATATATATAAACTAATAGGAATATAATATATTATAGTGTAAATAAATAAAAATCCAAATATCTATGTATAAAAGAGTAAATACGAGATATAATAAAATATATATAAGTATAAAGGGGTAAAATGAAACAAAATAAAGTTAGATGGCAGAATCAGAATATAACCAAGGGAATTAAACCAATTTGGGGACCAAATTAAATGTTTTTTTAAAACAGAGGGAGCCAAAATGAAGTTTACCCAACCAATTTGGGGACCAAATTGAATGTTTTTCAAAACAGAGGGAGCCAAAATGAAGTTTACCCCTTTTAGCAAAACACGCGGATCTGATATAAGCACGGGTCGGGCCAGTTTGGTCCGCTGGGCTAACTATATGACTCAAATATTTTTTTGAAATTTCATTTCTCTCTTCTTCTCTCGTCGAAGGCTCCCCTCCCTCACTCAGACTCTCTCTTTTGTTCATCCAACTGATGAACACAACCACCATTCATTTTCCAGAAAACGGCCCTGCGCCGCCTCAAGCTGCCTTGCCACCGCCGCTGATCCGCGGCGGCCGTCGTTCATCGGCGGCCAAACACGAAAAGGTAAGCTTTTTTCGAACGCTCTTCTTGCCTTCAACCCAAATCTTAAACTGGTTTTTCGAAATAGGCCTCGGGGGAGGGTGGAACTGAGATCAAAGTCTCGATCCTTCCCCTAAGAGTTCATCGGCCAAAAGGTTTCTCTTGATGGTTCAAAGGAGACTCAACAACAACAACATGCAAGCAGTGCAAGGGAACCGAATCAAAAACAAAGGTAAAAGACCAAGAAAAATACCCTTTATTTCTTTTCAAGAAAAATGCTTCGAATGATTTTACAACCTTCTGAGTTTTGTGACTCTCACGATCTCTCTTTGTGTGCTCGTGCCTAGTATCTTTTTTTGTGTATTTTTTCGTCCTCCCAAACTTGTGTGCTTTACATGATATTTATAGCCCAAAAATGGCTATTTTTAGAGTTTAAATTAGAGTAAAACACTGATGTTGGTTGTTGTTGCTTGTTTCTTTGCGTGGCCGAGAGTTCCGGTCGTTTGGAGGCGAGACGTGCGGTGATGGGGGTCTTGGAGCGACGTGATAGCCCTGGAATCTTGGTGATGCGGCGCTGGATGGGGAAACTGCTAGGGTTCTGGGAACCCTAACTCCAGTGGGTCACTTGGGTCATTACTGTTGGGCCTGTAAAAGGAGAGAAGAAAAAAAAAATGTAAATAAACTATATATATATTATAACTTATAACATAATATAATATTATATGTATGTATTATGAGGGACGAATTTAAGTGTCTTCACTCAGGCTTCACTTTTCCTTCATCGGCGTCCGCAACTTTTCCACGGCTGCTTGCTGCACACATGCATGTAGATGTAGAACGTACTCAAACTCGGTAATAAAATTACTAAAACTAGAGAAAATGACAGTAACTTTTGCAATGTGCTATTTACCATGGTGATGATGATGATGGGGAGCACCAGGGCTTTCAGTGAATGTACAAACCAGCAAGAAAATTACACCAACTCTAAAAGATAAGTTATTCATGTCTCGTGCTTGTGTGAAGTAAGCAAATTTGAGAAAGTTTTGCCAGAGATTTGGTGGCGGGCAAGGGCTTGTGTATATATAGTGAAAGAGCGAGGCCTTAAATGTAGAAATAAGGTACAGCTGATACATTTCGCATGATCCCTGCCTATCTTTTCCAGGGGTTTCACATTATTCCACTAAACATACTTTTTCTATAATTTTAAAAAGGAATAATAACAAAATTAGCTTTCAAATTTTGTAGAAAGTCACTTTGTCATTCGTTTTTTCTAGTATTTCAAATTTTAACATTTTAATTTTTTATTAAAATAATTCATATTATATAGAAATGATTAATTAATTAATGGCCTTATTACGTGATATTTTTATATATATTTAGGGGTTGTTTGTTTACTTCAGAATGATTAAGCGCTGAATGATTCAAATGCTGAATGATTCAGAAGCTCTGTATGAATTAGCTCTGAATGTTACTTGTTGTTTGATAATGGCTCTGAATCATTCAGAATGTACTTCTGTGCTAAATCATTCAGCACTGTTTTGCTGAATCAGTCAGCACTGAATCATTCAGAGGTGCGAAACAAACGCGCTGAATGCTGAACGGTTCAATATTCAACGCTGAATGATTCTATTAAGAGGCAAATAAACAATCCCTTAATTGATTATATCACATATGTCATGTCATTCAAAATCATAACATACAAAATCATAACATGACATGTCATGTTACTCAACATAATGACATAACATATATTACATCATCAATTAAACACATAATAATATCACATCAATAATATATATTAATAGTTAGTTAACTAATGATCTTCATTTAATATGAATTGTTTTAACTAAAAATTAAAATATTAGAAACTAAAATGATAATAAGAAAGATAACTAATTTTGTCATTATAACATTTTAAAAGTACACCACAACTCCATGCTACAAAATAATTGTTTAATGTTTATTGATTCCTATTCTAATTTATCAAATTTGATCTGCCAATTTTTTGTGTGATAAAAAGTGCTTTTATTAAAAATAAAAATATCTAAAATAACAATAAAGATTTACAAAGATAACCGTAAAATTAAAATATAATTATAACATTTTCTCATTACCATTGAGACAAAAACTAATCACATATATCACACAAAGACCAAAGAAGAAAAATGTTAAAAAAAACGTAACCAAAAACGCTCAAACAAAATAAAAATAACAAATCTAACTTAAAAAAGTAGTGGAATTAAATGACCACATCATTAAATCTAACTTAAAAATCAACAATTTAATAATTTACATGTAATAAATTAATAAAAATATATGAAGCATTAATAAATACTGAATATTATCACCATCGATAACTATATCGAAATCACAAAAATATGACGCAAAAAAAAATGTAACATGCACACCTATTACTTCAGCTAACACTCCCTTTACATTCAAAGTCAAATGTTAGATATTAAACTATTCCAACTTATTTAGGAGATAGATTTCCCTACGACCCTAACTGTTCCTATTAGGAACCATAAAACAGCACACAGTACACCAAGTACAGAAATGATAAAAAAATCCCTTGTTCCTGCATTTCCTCCTAGCAGTTGCACAACCACTCATTGCTGAAACATTTGCATTTAATTTCAACCTACCAAAGCTCGACATTCGCTCGAAAGCATAATTTACCAAAGGACTCTCAGAAGCAGATGCAGGAGTTGTAGGTATTGACTCCACGAACGACCACAATGAAGAAGAAAACCAGCCTCCACCTTCATCGTTTGTGTCACCTTGGTCTTGCTTAGTACCACTGTATGCGAAACCTAAACACGAAAAAGAAAACATACATAAGCATATAAGCTAAAATTCCATTTTTTTCACAAAGGGTTTTTGCCATATCTACCCAACCATCCGTCAAGAGCTCTAAAGAGGATGAGCTAAGGCAACACTTGGTCGAAAACAAAAGCATCGCTCAGTGAAAGTAATGTAAGTTCACAAAGTATTGATTTCCAAATTTGTTATACCTGAAGTTGCAGAGGCATTCCCGTGATTTGATCCTGGTGGAACAAAGACATCGCTGCTTTGATCATGCGTCCAAGGTGAGCCATTAATCTGATCTGTTTGCAGATGATGATTTTGATCATGGTAATCCACCTGGTCCATAGTTGAATGGAACACCAATTGCTGATCCATCATGTTCACAGTTGGACCGGAATGGGACTGATAACCTTCTTGGTTCAACGTACTATCTACCGAGCCATTCAGTTGAGGCTGCAACTGCTGATCCATCAGACTTATATTAGATTGGGATTCAAACCTTGGTTTTAAAATGCGAGATGCGCTCTGATGCGTTTAGTGTCCCGAGAGCCGATGCGTGATGCGCTCGCATCACGAACCCGATGCGCTAATTTTCACAAAAAAAAATACTTTTGAACTAATTTTATACCCTGTAAATACTTATATATAAAAAATACATCAATTAATACTAAAAGTAGTTTAATAGTACTTCATAAATGTTAAATAACATAATAGACAAGTACGCGTAGGAAAATCAAAACAACCAAAAGACAAATCAACAATAGCTCCCACTTCCCCCTTCCCCCACAGAGTTCTCCAAACTTTCTCTAGTCACAAACTAAATGTCTCCAAGATCCCCATCATCAAACCTGAGCACGTCTCCATCTCCCTCATCATCATCAGTCACTCCAATGTCTTCCTCCATCTCATCTTCATCAACAAGAGCGGGTCTTTTTCCTTTATCATTTCTTGATGGGCCGACTCCATCATAGAACCACCGTGCTATATATTTACAAATTTTTTCCCTCAACTCTTTTTGAACCGTGACATTGATAGTTTGTTGCTTCCCTCCTTTTCCAACTTTTCCTCCTTTGACAACATCTTCGAGATTAGGAGCGAAGAATTTATCTATAGGACCTTTTTGTCTTGGCTTTTTTCTTTGAGACATTTTGCTACTACCCCTTGCACTTCAACATAATCATCATCTTCATCAAGATCATAGTCACTATACTCGAATCTTCTTGAGTAAGTTGAGTTCATCTTTTTTTCTATGGTTTCCATTTCTTTTTTTTTTGCATGAAAGACCTCACCTCTTCCTTTACATGCTCTGGACAATTTGGGCAACTAGTAACATCCGGCAAACCACCAATGAAATGCCATTTCATTCGATAAACACCACCCTTCACTACTTTGGGACAAAAATGGCAACGAAAATTGTTTCTATTGCTAGGCTTTTGCGTAGAATATTTCCTAGCTGGATGAGTTGATTTGTTAGTTGTGTTTGTATTTGAACCCATTGAGGTAGCACTAGGAGTTGGTTCCATACTAAAAATCACAAAAAACTTGTTTTAGTACATATAAAAGCTTAAACAAGTAGCAAGTAGCAAAACAATCATACACCCCAGCAACAAAAAAAAAAACAGTTCTTCGCTAAACCTTCAGTAAAATCAATTTAAAGCTATTGCGGCATTAAAGCTTATTGATTTAGTTTTTTCAGTAAAATCATAGGACGTAAAAACAATTCATTCATTTAAGCAACAAAAAAACAACTTGTTTATGTTTCTAAAAGCTAAAAGCTTTTGCAACTAAAAGCTATTGCAACTAAAAGCTATTGCAACAAAAAGAACTTATCTATAGGACGTAAAAACAGTTCATTCATTTAAGCAACAAAAAACAACTTATTTATGTTTCTAAAAGCTAAAAGCTTTTGCAACTAAAAGCTATTGCAACAAAAAGAACTTATCTATAGGATGTAAAAACAGTTCATTCATTTAAGCAACAAAAAACAACTTGTTTTAGTACACATAAGAACTTAGGAATGAAAAAGATAGCAGCAGCCTCTTGTCAAGTCTATTGCGAGTGGCAGGGATGAAAAGAAACAGTAAATCAAGGATAAATGTAAAAACAAAATTGAGACTTACCTTCAAGTTTCTTCAATGGCAGCACTCAGCAGACAGATCTTCAATAGCAGGGGGGAAAGCTCGATGGAGGAAAGCAGCAACCAGGTGATATTTTATTAGAGATTTAGGTCAATTGAATATGGCTTTTTAAGCCCATTCCAGCAATTAAGTTAGAAACATAAACTAGTCCAATTAAAAGCCTAAAAAAAATCTTATTAAACGCATCGGCCCGCATCAGACCGCATCAGCCGCATCGAATCGCATCAGACCGCATTATGTACCCCCTACCGCATCAGGCTGCCCGATGCGTTTTGACCATCGCAACGGTCGCATCACGCATCAGGCACGCCTGATGCGCGCTTTTTTAAACCAAGATTCAAACTGGTAAGTTGCCTAATGGATCATAGTATCATACGAGAGTGGAACTGTTTCTTGATCAATAGGCCCAATGTCATGTATATACATGACAGCATCATGGTACAGGTCTAATTCACTCAGCCCATCCAGCTCATTGAACTGGACATTCTCCACAGGTTTCTCGATACCGGAGATCAAAGGATCAGGACCAAGGAGATCATCCATTTCTAAGAAGCCTGCCTCGCATAACTGGGGGAGCTGTTCAGAGCGATCAGCACCAGATGTGACCTCAGGTGCCTCCTGCAACTGCAATTGAGAAGTGGGTGACTAATGGAATTCAAAACTTGCTGGATCGGGAAAGAGAATATCTCTTGGAGATGAATCCAGCAAGGTACTTTGCGTCTCGTCAACACTGACAATCTGAGGCAATACATGGCTAAGATAAGTTTGTGTCTGGGGAAGTGCAGGCTCATCAGCTAATTGTCTCATAGACTGCTCGATATCACTCGATGGAGACAGATCTAGAGCATCAGCTTCTACATTATCAACAGGAATAGCCTCATCAGCTGGCTTTACGGGAGTGATAGCATCTACGGGATTGCTTTCGTATTCCTCATCAGCTCATGCTTTTTCTTTAAATGGTGCCCCGTACTGCTCACCATTTTTAGGACCAGCTCCGCTTTTTTTGTACAATTTATAGAGGGCATAATAATCCTGATATTCAAAAGTGAAACATATCATCAAGAAACAGCTCATATACAGTACAAAACTGGAAAGGTTCCATAAAAAACTTAATTCAGCTAAATACGTTTACATTCTGGCACCTCATTAGCTCCTCTTCATCAAGGGTATATTCATGCATTACCCAGTCGGTTCGCTCACCACTAGGTGCATGCCCTCTGTAGAAAACTAAAGTTTTCTCGATTCCAACTGTTCGAGAATTGCATGAAATAGTACGATCCTTTCCTGTTGCCTTCCAATACCCATGTACGGTTGCCCTGTTTGACCTTGCCCCATTAGGGTACTTCCTGTCCCTTGGACAGAAAAAGAACCATTGTCTATCCCCATTCTTCAATATGGATTGCCCTGAATAGCATTTTTTTTATAGAAGTTGGAGTTCTCATTAAAAACTCCTTTCGTATTCGTTCACATACTAAAAGTATGTTAACGAACTGAATAGCATTTTTTGTTTATTAGAAAACTGATCATACGGATAAAGTAAAACATTATCTACTCAAAGGGAAAAATGAGCTTCAATTTGATTGTATAAATCTATCCGGAGATTTAAATTGCGGTCGCATTTATCACAATTGTGGACATAGCGATGATTGCCGGCATCGTGACAATAACAGTTTCGGACGGCACCTCTACCGCACGATGATGATTCAAATTTCCATCAAAATCTATTAATAGACAACAAAAAGTAGAAACCAAAGAAACAGTCCAATTAGTGTGCAAAGCAAAGCAAACCGAAGTCAACGCAATCCAAAATGAAAGAAAACAAATCAATTACAGATAAAATCAAAAGAAACCCCTAAAAATGCAATTCAATTCAAGTTAAACGAAGTCAAAGCACGCAAACCCTAAATCCATATCAACAATCAATAACAAGACCCTAAATGATGGGGTTTATAAAAGAAAAGGGAAAAATTACCGGGCAATTCCTCAGGATCCCACTTGTAAACATCCATTTCCCTTGTGATATCAAGCTTGAGCCTTTTTCTACAGATATTCCTCTTCAAGTAATAAAGAACCAGCTCTTCGTCAGTTGGGTGAAAACGAAACCCCGGTGGCCACACTTGATCGTCCCCAAAACATGAATCCGCCGTCACCTTCATCTTTCTTGATATTAATAAAAAAGAACAGCCCTCTTTTCACTAAATGGACAAAAATGAGAAAAAAATTCCGAATCAATAGAGCTAAAAGCAGAAATAAAACCCCCCCAAAAAATGACTTCGTAAGTTATACGAATTTTCTTTTCGTATATTTTTCTGATAATAAGAGAGAAAGGGTAAATTCATGAATAAGTCAGGGCTATTTGAGTAAATTTTTTTATTTATTTTAAAAAGTAATAATGTAATAATTGACATTATTAATTTATAATAAATCGATATATTATTGTTAAAAATCATTATTAAATGTAATACATTAAATTGATTAACTTAACACCTTTCAGTCATGCAAACAATTATGTTTCATTTGACTCCATTTATTTTAGGTTAATCTTTTAGAAATTGATAAGTCGGACATTTGCATAATTTATATTTAAAATCATGTGTTTTAGCATTCTAATATATCTCAAAGCCTTTGTTTTGATAGGTATTTAATATTTTAGGTATTTGTAGGCCTAACAAATTTGACTTGGGCTCAATTATTCGAACCGATTTACTTAATCTAAGACCTGGACATAATGACACGAATTTGATCCGAAACCTGAACAAATCGAGTTGAACCAAAAATGGAAGAATTTTAGCTAAACTAATATGAATTCGAACAGAAATAACCTGGACCGAAAATAACTCAAACCAAAAGCAACCCGAACAAAAAACAATCGAATCGAAAATAATTTGAATTTAATTTACTCAAACCCGATTTGAATTAAACATTAACCCGATTTTAACCCGATAATTAATTTAAAATAAATAAATAAATTATTTTGAATTATTACTTTTTTAGTAATGTGATAAATAATAAACTAGTAAGATAAAATCCAAATATATATATATTAATTATTTATTTGATTTGAACTTTAATTATTTTTATTAATTTAATAACTAAATTTAAACTTCATATATCTAATTAAATGTCTAATGATTAAATAAATATAAATTAATTTTAATCTATAATTAATTAATTAATTAATTATACAAGATTAATTTTCTCTATTAAATACTTTTTATATAATCTTGTTGAGTTAATCGATCGACGGAATCAGCCAAGAGGGGGTGAATTGGCAATTAAAAATTTCGGTGGATGCTTTTGCAGAAAATTGAAAAGATTTGCACATCGATTTAGAGTGGTTCGACTTTCTCAATTAAAGTTTATGTCCAATACCTTAGCTATCCATACTAAGGATTTTCCAACAAATTCACTAATTTGTTCTTTCTTTTGAGGCCAAAGAGATAACCTTACAACACCCTCAAGAATATACCCCAATTCTTGAGAACACTCTTTCTCAAAGAGAAGATTACAAATTTGCAAACTTACAAGGAAATCCTCACAAGGTAGATTGTTTGCACAATTCTAGAACAAAGAAAAGAACACTAAAAAATGAATACAATTGAGTACAAGAAGTGTTCTTGAAAGCAAAATGAATATTAAATGAAAAATAGGTTTGAATTGCTCAAACAATGAGTTTGATGCTTTCTCTTTGATTCTCTCTTGATTCTAGTTGCTTGTTGTTTTCTTGTTTTTGATCAATGGCTTCTAAGCTTGTTTAAATACACCTTCAAATGATTCTGAACGTTGGGGATGCTTAGTGGAGTCAATAGAGCCGTTTAAGCGTGAAAACAATTAATTAAAGCAGTTGGGAGCGTTAGTGCATCGATGCATACCCATGGTGCATCGGTGCATCAGTGTAAAATTCAAATATTTTGACCGTTGGAACCTTAGTGCATCGGTGCACTAAGAGTGCATCGATGCATAAAATGCATTCGATGTTTCAAAATAGCCAGAGTGCATCGATGCATGGTTTGTGCATCGATGCATCAAATGCACTGAGTGCATCGATGCATGGTATGTGCATCAATGCATAAAATGCATTCGATGTTCAATTTAATTCACGGTGCATCGATGCATGGATTGGTGCATCGGTGCATCACTTTGAAAAATTGATTTTAGGCTTGATTTTGGTTCAAAATACTTTGTGAAAATTGTTTCAAAAATAGTTTAAGTATAAAACACAATTTTACACATTTAGTAAGGTTTGAAATTGATCTTGAAAGACTTGGAGTAATAATTTGATATTCGATTAATTGAATCGAATATACTTAGAAAATCATTTGTAAAATCTTAAAATTCATTTAAACTTAGTTTGTTATATCGAAATATCAAAATGTTTTCAACAATCTCCCCATTTTTGATATAACAAAACACTTGAGTAATTTTAAGATGTTCTTTGAAAATAAGTTTTGAAATCGGTTTTGAAATTACTCCCCCTTACTGTAACACTTCTCCCCTTTAAAAACATTTCAACACTTAACATTTCTCCCCTTTTTTGTTAAATTAAAAAGACTCAAAAATAGATTTAAACAATGTTTTGAAAGCTACTAAGATCACAATCAAGAGAAACGTTAGCCATTAGTTTCATAATCAATATTCATAATCAATGTGACATGGTAAATTGGTCATAGTGCAACTAATATGGAAATGATGCAAAAATTAATAAACATTAAGCTCAAAGTGAAAATTCAAACCAAACCAATATATATTAAGATTAAAATCCATAAAGCATCCAAATCATATCTCCAAACAAAGTCAAACAATCCAAAGAAAAACAGTAATCCCCAAATATTCAAAATGTTTTAACAAAAAAAGTTCAACGAAGATCCAAAATAAAACACGGTCTACTCGTCTATGAAAGGATCGGGAGGAGGAGAAGGGTAGTGAGCTCTCATCTCAAGAGTGAGTGCATCCAAACGATCATTCATATCTTGTTATCGAGCTCCCAAAGTGGTGAGTTGGGACTCAATGAAAGTAAAGCGTGAATCCATGGATGCAAATCGTAAATCAAATGTCTCCAAGAATGATCGAAAATAAGGAGGCATTTGTTCTTCTTGCTGTGCCGAGTCCGGTGCCGGAGGAGCATCGTCGGGAACTAACTCATCAATGTCTTGCATGAGTTGCTGTAGTTTGGGATCATCATCTGCAGCCGGTGCCAGCGGAGGACCATGAGATGAGCTAGGAGCAACACGTGAAGAGCTGGCTCCCGGAGTTTGCCTACCGGGTCTAAAAACCCATTGACTGGTTTTCTCTCCTTGTTTCCACTCAGCTTTCTTTAACGAGGTTAGATTGATTGG